AATAACCGACCATACAAACCAAAGAAAATTCAGCACGACTGAATTCCACAAGTTTTAAGGCTGAAAGGATGGAAACTGATAGTGAATTGTGGTGGGGAAGATAGCTGCTGAAATGTCTCGAGATTCCCCATCAATGCAATGCAATGTACTATGTGCAATTGCATGAATGAATTGTCTCGAGCGTGTATAATACTTTAGGCGAGGAAATCAAAAAAGCACATCTTGGTGAAAAAACAATGTGCTTTGCAGACATCCGCCAGATTTGCGTGTTTTTGTGCGTTTTTTGTAGCTATGCAGTGCAAAAACGCATAATGACGAGGGGTTGTCTGTGTGTGCGTCTGTCACGCACTTTCATCTCAGGACTTATAAAAGCTGCAGGGCTGAAATTTCAGGAACTTAATCTACATGCACGAGCCTCCCCCAATTCCCAAAATGGGCGCCAACACCTGCATGGTACCTGCGTATGGGCCCGCCAAAGATTTTTTGGGGCAAGTTCATAAATTCAAGTTGAAATCTTAACGCAATGCTACCCGTCCAACTAAGTATTAATGCACTCAAACCTATCCCCCGGGTAAGCGTTGTACTCGCGCATGAGCCCGCCAAAATTTTTTTCGGGTAATTTCATAACTCGGGGATCTAAGAAGCTAGAACGTTGAAATCTTAGGCAATGTTCCCCGTCCAAGTAGGTATTAACGAGTTCAAACCGTGCCCGCGGATAAGCGTGGTATCTATCTATGGGCCCTCAAAAATTTCTTCCTGGTAAGTTGCTAACTCGGGAAAGTGAGAAGCTAGAAGACTGGGATTTTGAAGAGATGTTTCCTGACAGTCCTGGCAGCCAGTCTGAAATTCTTTTAGTTAGAAGCATCTGCCAGTGCCGTTAGCGACAAAAATCAGCGGGGAGCTGTGCAAAAAACGCATCTCCGCACGGGCAACCCGTGCGTTGACCAATTATTTTCTTGGGATTTGATCGGAGAAAAAGGCACATACATGAAAGAGGCGAATTGTCGAAAAATCAGTGAAAAAATTTGGCTAGCATTTCGATCAGCGCCTGTCCATGTGACATTTTGCAACTGCTTCGGCAACAGTTCCTTCGGCATAAATGGGAAGCCAAACAGCAGATACAGATCACAATCGTGGCAAACACCTAAAACAAGCAGAGTTATAGCAAACAAGAACAACAATCAATGCCCAGAAATTTCGAAATACGCAAATTCAAGGTCATTTCGACAATCGATGTGGGGATCCAGTGTTGGTGGTATTACCGGAATCTACCTACACTTCGTGCAATTCAAATTCACCGAGAAGTAATTCATGAGTTGCTGTGGTGATTCCGGCGATGGGGAACAGTGCTGTTGTACCCCAGCGGTTGGAGATTACTAAAATAGTGAAGGTTTAAAGGAGATCCAACATTCCAGGTGCAGCTACGACGTACAGCCGAGTCGGATCTTGTCTGACCTTCCGTCGATCCGAGCTGTGCGTTGTCACTTTACCCTGTTATCTGCCTTATGACACCTTCTCAAAGACTAGTTAAATGTTCGTAATCTTTCTTGAAGACAACACTCCACTGAAAGATGGAATGAGGGGCACATACACTAAAGAACAAGTCGGCCTTTCCCAGATGTAGCCACTCTACATCCCCATTTGTGATATGCAAATGTTCCGTCTTAAGACTTGGGTCCCTTTGTGACATAAAAACAGTATCAATGATACTGAAATAGTTATTATTTTGTTAAGTGATAATACTAGGCGGTGTGCTGCCGCCCAACGATTTTCTAAAATTTTATTTCAGGAACCGATAAGTATTGAGCAAATTCATCTACCCCGATAACGCAGGAATTAAAGATTTAGTTAGTACGTTATTCTCATGAAAATTGCCTCCTCATAACTACATAGAATTACTGCCCATATAATAAGTTAGTTTCCTCCACACTCTTATTGCTTTCATGCTGTTGCACTTTTCCACTCTCTCTCCCTCTCTTTCTTTCACGTCTTCGTCTTGCAAATTAGTTACATGTCCTTTCAATACATGGCGGGTAGGAGGCTGTACTGACAATTCCCACTTCTACCCGCATGCATAGCCCGGTCTGTGTTTACAGCTAAGGGATGAAACATAGAGAGACTGTATCGTAAAATGCCTTTTTGTACATGGCACTTAAGTCGAGTCCTTCTACTCTACTACTTTCTTATCCGACATCATCTTTCACAGTTTTTGTTTTTTTTTTTAGAACAAAGTTCACTTTATTCTAAAGTTCCTCACTCCCACTACCACCGCAAGTCCGCAAGGGGTACATGTTATAATAGAAAGGTATACTGACAAGAGATGAAAGAAGATGAATCAAAAAAGGGCGTAGGAAATGAGGATTTGTAAAATTAGTAAAATTATTATAATGGTAAGAAATATTTCGGCCCATTAAATCGTATACATTTCTCACCATTACCACAATTGAACCTCATCAGTGCGCTGAAGGGATTCTTCGCTAAACGATTTGTCAAATAAAAACATTTAATAAAGCTCAAAAAGTAGTTCTGTCCACTGAACATTACCACGCTGAATGCAACAACG